TAGAAGTATACTGATGAATATACAATAACTGAATTACCATTTTATAATCAAATTTTTGGTTTTAAATATGTTTTCACAGTTAAAAATACGATGTTTAATATCTCATTAACGAGTTTATTAGCAATACTATACATCTAAGTGAGAGTGTAAATGTATAGTATACATATGTATAGTACCTAATATGACATTATCAAAACACAGTTCACACATAGTCAACAAGTCGTTATTATATATACGTAAAACAATGTATACTTCACACTTATAGTGAAATATTTTAGTTTTCCTAAGACCATCAACTTAACATTTAGGAAGTTAGTATATATAAAAATATATAATTGCTTAGCTATTATTTCAATAATTTATTTTTAAAGTGTTTATTAGGTCAAACACTCACTACCCCCTACTCCCTAGTCTATGAGAGTTAATGCCGTACGCAACCATACACATCACCTCTTGCCATACCCTCCCCATCCCAGCAATACCTAGCGCATACCAACCCCATACCCCTCCATACCATCAATGTCTAACATATACCACACCATAACCTTCCATAGGTTAGGTTATAGAGTACTAGCCCTTAATCAGTCTAGTCCATCCAGATACCTCCCATCGTATACGTGTGTGAGCATATACATCATACTACATCATACTTCACTACAATCAATGTTTAGTATATACCACTGAATTAGTAAATTAAATAATATAATACTATTTAAAACATACAATTGATATATTAGGAAAGAATTTTTATATATCATATTTATATAAACTCTATATTATACTATACCTACTGTATTATCAATACCTAGCACATATCACACCTTACCTCCACTTACCATCAATGTCTATCACTAAAAATGTATATATTTTATAATTCTCAACATAATGATAAGTAACTTTATAGTTATCTAAGACATTATTATATGTGGTATGCTGGTTTAACATTCCACATACATATATGATATATACATATTATATTATTATAGTTTTAAAATTAAATAATATAATACTATTTAAAACATGCAATTGATATATTAGGAAAGAATTTCTATATATTATATCATATTTATATAAACGCTATATTATACTATACCTACAGTATTATCAATATCTAATACATATCACACCTTACCTCCGCCTACCATCAATGTCTATCACTAAAAATGTATATATTTTATAATTCTCAACATAATGATAAGTAACTTTATAGTTATCTAAGACATTATTATATGTGGTATGTTGGTTTAACATTTCACACACATATATGATATATGCATATTACATTATTATAGTTTTAAAATATAGAATAATAACAATATTATAAACATGGTAAATGATTAACTAATAATCTGTTTAGTAAGAACATTCTTATTTCTTAATTTAGCGAATCGTTAAATTATATATCCATACATTGATATTAGTAATATGTATACCATATAAATAAGTAATTATTAACGATATCTCATCATCTTTATTCGATGTGAAATATGAAAGTCTATCTGTATAACTTATATTTAATAAATATTAATACTATAATGAATTTTTAACAAAAAAAAAAAATGTTATACCCCCAGAGAGAATCAAACTCCCGACTCCTACTTTATGAATTAATTAACAATAGATTATATTTTAAAACAATTATTTATTATAAACTTATATGTCACATAGTTGATTAATGGGTATATTTCTAAAAATTTTTTATATTCGAATGGATGGCGTGGGTGGGTGAATGAGCATTTATAACATATATAACCCCGCCGCTTATTTGAGTATACAAGTCCTTCGGTTAACGCGAGTAATCTCCGAGTATCGCGAATAAAATGATAATCTACTAATATCGAAGAGGTAGGATCCAATTTTAAATTTATTTCTTTATTAATCTATGTAGCACATAATATAGTAATTATAGTTTAAATATAGGTATATATTTACACTTCAGTGTAACCGTGTAGTCATGTCGGAAAATTGAATGATTGAAATAAACGATGGATCCTGTAGTATGGTGTGGTATGTACTAGGTATTTATAAGATAGTATAGTATAATAGGTATAGTGTTTATATGAATATGATATATATATATATATATAGTTATTTTTTTTCCTAATATAATATCAATTACATGCTTTAGATAGTAGTGTATTATTTAATTTACTAATTCAGTGGTATATACTAGACATTGATTGTAGTGAAGTATGGTGTAGTATGATGTATATAGTCACACACGTACGCGATAGTAGGTGCGCGGATGGACTAGGCTGATTAGGGGGCTAGTACTTTATAACCTAACCTATGGAGGGTTATGATGTGATATGTGTAATAGGTATGACATGATGTGTATGGTTGCGCACGGTATTAACTCTCATAGACTAGAGAGTAGGGAGTAGTGTGTGTGTGTATTTGAACTCTAAAACAATGTGAAACGTTAACCAACAGTCAAGCACGTATGTGATAGTATAGAACTATAGGCTGGGCGAGGTAGTCAGAATCATCGGATTTACTTGTGATAGACGGGAGGGGTGGATCTGGTCGGTTACGTGGGCGATGTTAGGTGGGGTAGATATCCATGTGATAGATGGGATGAGGAGGAGGGGAGGTATAGGTATCTATGTGATAGATATGGATGTGATGTTAAAATTTTGTACGAAGCTTTAAATTATAAGTATAATATATATGTATATATTCGTGCTCAACGTTGACTACCTACTGTTAATATTATAACACAGTTCTGAATATTCCTAAACATGTGTAATATACATAATGAAAATACAATGTATATTTTCACGTTCGATAAAATTGTACAATAATTTCAATTATCATTAACACGATGTCAATATCACCTTAGGCCTTAGGTGATGATATCGAGGTCGATGGGGGGCAGCGGAGACAGTGTTATTGTTATTTTTAATCTAATGAGGGAAAGTAGCATATTATTGTGTATCAACGCGATTGATAATGTTATAGCTAAAATGTGTAAAAATATGACATATGCTATTAACACTATGAGTGGATCGGGTAACGATGATGTTGTCATCGCATAACTAATGAGGGAGAGTGGTTATGCCTAATGATGTTAAGTAATATTTATCATACTCATATTATACATGTGTGAGGGATAATTGAGGAAGGGTATCTCCAATTGCTTAAATACTCGTTGTATCAGCACATTCAATATCAGTTGTTCTCCGTTTACCGATCTATACTTTACTCAAGTTAACATCAGCGACCAAGACGACAACGACAACGACGACGACGACGAGAAGTAACAAGTAGAGGAACATCGACGAAGGAGTCCGTGACGATTTTCAAAGAAGTTAAAGAATTTTAAGTAAGTAATATTTTTTTTTTCATATTCAATCCTGAACATAATATATCATATCGTAGACATGTAATGAATACATATGAGTATAATAATATGAAAGACGTGTATTAAATGTGTAATTAATTTCCAGGACATCTATCATGGAGGGGCTAAGAAAACAACTGGTCGCACAATCGAGCGCCCGTTTTATGTCGGTAGGTGATTTAGCCGTGGGCCGGCCGTATCCCATAATTAAGATGACTAATCAAGAGACGCAGTATGGTAGGACAGTGAAGTGCACCATCGACGACGGTGAGGATGGGGTAATAGAAGTTTTCCTTCCGAGAACAATAGCCGTGAGCGATGAACAGGAGGCACTTTACAATGTAGATGGAAACCAGACGCTAAGTCTGGTTTTCAACGGGCGACGGGGGAGGTCGTTCAACATTACTTTCAAGTGATGAAAATACATCAAATGTGTACCTAATGTTTACTTTATATTATATTATATTATTATTATTATTATTATTATTATTATTTTTTTTTTTTTTTAATCATCATAATAAACATCCAGTCAATATTTTAATCTGAAATGTTTTATAATTATTTATTATTTATTATTGGAATGAGTGTATTATATATATATATATATATATATATATATATATATATATATATATATATGTCGGTACTCCGGATATGTGGGTAAAGACATGTACATGTGTGATATACATTATGAATTAATGCAATCGTCAGAGTATAGAGCAGTGTTTCCCCCAAAAGGGTATGCCATGGTAAACTTAATACAAAAATTAACTTAATACACAGAACAGTTCTGTAATATATAAATCGAGAGATAATAATATTATTACCTATTAACGGTAATTTGATACCCGACATCATTACGTATTATTCGATATAATATTTATCCAAATAGTGTACCACGACTTATAATAACTAATATCACGAGCGCATATATAGTTCACTCTCGTGATGTCTCAGCGAATGTGTACTGCCGGTATAATAATAATAATAATGTACCGCGATGGGAAGAAAGTTTGGGAACCGCTGGAGTAGAGTGACGTGCGAGCGTCCGGTTATCTCAACCCGCGGCATGCCAAGCCGAGTTACAACCACTGTGTCATTCCACTTATAATTCCAATCACTATCGCAAGGAGATGAAACCAATCCTCGAGGTTTCTCTCAGGCACTGCTGTATTTCCAGCGTTTAGCATTTCTGCGGTTGTGATTGGAATTATAAGTGAAATGGCACAGTGGTTGTACGATCAATTCCGTGTTATCACTTATCACAAGGAGTTGAAACATTAGATTTTGTATATACTAACTTTCTAAACGTTAAGTTGATGATCTTATACGATTTTAGAAATTCTGAGTGATGGTTATATTATATAGTACCTATATTAAAGTATAATATAATAAAGTGTTTGTATGAATATGATATATATATATATATATATATATATATATATATATACATGGATTTGTGATATATTTTAGTAGGTAAATTAAATAATAACGTTTAAAGTATAATATGATTGAAATAGTGATTGGAATTATAAGTGGAATAACACAGTGGTTGTACGATCAATTCCGTGTTTTATTGATCGAGGGAAATCTCGAGGATTGGCTTCAACTCGCTAAGACAGCAATATATAAAGACTCTAACGATTACATGCTCGGCTCAGCTCAACCCAATAGCACATATACAGAACTGATCGTATAATCTTGCAACACGTCGTTTAATTTCAATCGCTTTATATGTGCTATTGGGTTGAGCTGAGCCGAGCATGTAATCGTTAGAGTCTTTATATATTGCTGTCTTAGCGAGTTGAAGCCAATCCTCGAGATTTCCCTCGATCAATAAAACACGGAATTGATCGTACAACCACTGTGTTATTCCACTTATAATTCCAATCACTATTTCAATCATATTATACTTTAAACGTTATTATTTAATTTACCTACTAAAATATATCACAAATCCATGTATATATATATATATATATATATATATATATATATATATATCATATTCATACAAACACTTTATTATATTATACTTTAATATAGGTACTATATAATATAACCATCACTCAGAATTTCTAAAATCGTATAAGATCATCAACTTAACGTTTAGAAAGTTAGTATATACAAAATCTAATGTTTCAACTCCTTGTGATAAGTGATAACACGGAATTGATCGTACAACCACTGTGCCATTTCACTTATAATTCCAATCACAACCGCAGAAATGCTAAACGCTGGAAATACAGCAGTGCCTGAGAGAAACCTCGAGGATTGGTTTCATCTCCTTGCGATAGTGATTGGAATTATAAGTGGAATGACACAGTGGTTGTAACTCGGCTTGGCATGCCGCGGGTTGAGATAACCGGACGCTCGCACGTCACTCTACTCCAGCGGTTCCCAAACTTTCTTCCCATCGCGGTACATTATTATTATTATTATACCGGCAGTACACATTCGCTGAGACATCACGAGAGTGAACTATATATGCGCTCGTGATATTAGTTATTATAAGTCGTGGTACACTATTTGGATAAATATTATATCGAATAATACGTAATGATGTCGGGTATCAAATTACCGTTAATAGGTAATAATATTATTATCTCTCGATTTATATATTACAGAACTGTTCTGTGTATTAAGTTAATTTTTGTATTAAGTTTACCATGGCATACCCTTTTGGGGGAAACACTGCTCTATACTCTGACGATTGCATTAATTCATAATGTATATCACACATGTACATGTCTTTACCCACATATCCGGAGTACCGACATATATATATATATATATATATATATATATATAATACACTCATTCCAATAATAAATAATAAATAATTATAAAACATTTCAGATTAAAATATTGACTGGATGTTTATTATGATGATTAAAAAAAAAATAATAATAATAATAATATAATATAATATAAAGTAAACATTAGGTACACATTTGATGTATTTTCATCACTTGAAAGTAATGTTGAACGACCTCCCCCGTCGCCCGTTGAAAACCAGACTTAGCGTCTGGTTTCCATCTACATTGTAAAGTGCCTCCTGTTCATCGCTCACGGCTATTGTTCTCGGAAGGAAAACTTCTATTACCCCATCCTCACCGTCGTCGATGGTGCACTTCACTGTCCTACCATACTGCGTCTCTTGATTAGTCATCTTAATTATGGGATACGGCCGGCCCACGGCTAAATCACCTACCGACATAAAACGGGCGCTCGATTGTGCGACCAGTTGTTTTCTTAGCCCCTCCATGATAGATGTCCTGGAAATTAATTACACATTTAATACACGTCTTTCATATTATTATACTCATATGTATTCATTACATGTCTACGATATGATATATTATGTTCAGGATTGAATATGAAAAAAAAAATATTACTTACTTAAAATTCTTTAACTTCTTTGAAAATCGTCACGGACTCCTTCGTCGATGTTCCTCTACTTGTTACTTCTCGTCGTTGTCGTCGTTGTCGTTGTCGTCTTGGTCGCTGATGTTAACTTGAGTAAAGTATAGATCGGTAAACGGAGAACAACTGATATTGAATGTGCTGATACAACGAGTATTTAAGCAATTGGAGATACCCTTCCTCAATTATCCCTCACACATGTATAATATGAGTATGATAAATATTACTTAACATCATTAGGCATAACCACTCTCCCTCATTAGTTATGCGATGACAACATCATCGTTACCCGATCCACTCATAGTGTTAATAGCATATGTCATATTTTTACACATTTTAGCTATAACATTATCAATCGCGTTGATACACAATAATATGCTACTTTCCCTCATTAGATTAAAAATAACAATAACACTGTCTCCGCTGCCCCCCATCGACCTCGATATCATCACCTAAGGCCTAAGGTGATATTGACATCGTGTTAATGATAATTGAAATTATTGTACAATTTTATCGAACGTGAAAATATACATTGTATTTTCATTATGTATATTACACATGTTTAGGAATATTCAGAACTGTGTTATAATATTAACAGTAGGTAGTCAACGTTGAGCACGAATATATACATATATATTATACTTATAATTTAAAGCTTCGTACAAAATTTTAACATCACATCCATATCTATCACATAGATACCTATACCTCCCCTCCTCCTCATCCCATCTATCACATGGATATCTACCCCACCTAACATCGCCCACGTAACCGACCAGATCCACCCCTCCCGTCTATCACAAGTAAATCCGATGATTCTGACTACCTCGCCCAGCCTATAGTTCTATACTATCACATACGTGCTTGACTGTTGGTTAACGTTTCACATTGTTTTAGAGTTCAAATACACACACACACTACTCCCTACTCTCTAGTCTATGAGAGTTAATACCGTGCGCAACCATACACATCATGTCATACCTATTACACATATCACATCATAACCCTCCATAGGTTAGGTTATAAAGTACTAGCCCCCTAATCAGCCTAGTCCATCCGCGCACCTACTATCGCGTACGTGTGTGACTATATACATCATACTACACCATACTTCACTACAATCAATGTCTAGTATATACCACTGAATTAGTAAATTAAATAATACACTACTATCTAAAGCATGTAATTGATATTATATTAGGAAAAAAAATAACTATATATATATATATATCATATTCATATAAACACTATACCTATTATACTATACTATCTTATAAATACCTAGTACATACCACACCATACTACAGGATCCATCGTTTATTTCAATCATTCAATTTTCCGACATGACTACACGGTTACACTGAAGTGTAAATATATACCTATATTTAAACTATAATTACTATATTATGTGCTACATAGATTAATAAAGAAATAAATTTAAAATTGGATCCTACCTCTTCGATATTAGTAGATTATCATTTTATTCGCGATACTCGGAGATTACTCGCGTTAACCGAAGGACTTGTATACTCAAATAAGCGGTGGGGTTATATATGTTATAAATGCTCATTCACCCACCCACGCCATCCATTCGAATATAAAAAATTTTTAGAAATATACCCATTAATCAACTATGTGACATATAAGTTTATAATAAATAATTGTTTTAAAATATAATCTATTGTTAATTAATTCATAAAGTAGGAGTCGGGAGTTTGATTCTCTCTGGGGGTATAACATTTTTTTTTTTTGTTAAAAATTCATTATAGTATTAATATTTATTAAATATAAGTTATACAGATAGACTTTCATATTTCACATCGAATAAAGATGATGAGATATCGTTAATAATTACTTATTTATATGGTATACATATTACTAATATCAATGTATGGATATATAATTTAACGATTCGCTAAATTAAGAAATAAGAATGTTCTTACTAAACAGATTATTAGTTAATCATTTACCATGTTTATAATATTGTTATTATTCTATATTTTAAAACTATAATAATGTAATATGCATATATCATATATGTGTGTGAAATGTTAAACCAACATACCACATATAATAATGTCTTAGATAACTATAAAGTTACTTATCATTATGTTGAGAATTATAAAATATATACATTTTTAGTGATAGACATTGATGGTAGGCGGAGGTAAGGTGTGATATGTATTAGATATTGATAATACTGTAGGTATAGTATAATATAGCGTTTATATAAATATGATATAATATATAGAAATTCTTTCCTAATATATCAATTGCATGTTTTAAATAGTATTATATTATTTAATTTTAAAACTATAATAATATAATATGTATATATCATATATGTATGTGGAATGTTAAACCAGCATACCACATATAATAATGTCTTAGATAACTATAAAGTTACTTATCATTATGTTGAGAATTATAAAATATATACATTTTTAGTGATAGACATTGATGGTAAGTGGAGGTAAGGTGTGATATGTGCTAGGTATTGATAATACAGTAGGTATAGTATAATATAGAGTTTATATAAATATGATATATAAAAATTCTTTCCTAATATATCAATTGTATGTTTTAAATAGTATTATATTATTTAATTTACTAATTCAGTGGTATATACTAAACATTGATTGTAGTGAAGTATGATGTAGTATGATGTATATGCTCACACACGTATACGATGGGAGGTATCTGGATGGACTAGACTGATTAAGGGCTAGTACTCTATAACCTAACCTATGGAAGGTTATGGTGTGGTATATGTTAGACATTGATGGTATGGAGGGGTATGGGGTTGGTATGCGCTAGGTATTGCTGGGATGGGGAGGGTATGGCAAGAGGTGATGTGTATGGTTGCGTACGGCATTAACTCTCATAGACTAGGGAGTAGGGGGTAGTGAGTGTTTGACCTAATAAACACTTTAAAAATAAATTATTGAAATAATAGCTAAGCAATTATATATTTTTATATATACTAACTTCCTAAATGTTAAGTTGATGGTCTTAGGAAAACTAAAATATTTCACTATAAGTGTGAAGTATACATTGTTTTACGTATATATAATAACGACTTGTTGACTATGTGTGAACTGTGTTTTGATAATGTCATATTAGGTACTATACATATGTATACTATACATTTACACTCTCACTTAGATGTATAGTATTGCTAATAAACTCGTTAATGAGATATTAAACATCGTATTTTTAACTGTGAAAACATATTTAAAACCAAAAATTTGATTATAAAATGGTAATTCAGTTATTGTATATTCATCAGTATACTTCTATATATATATTTCACTAGAAAGACCTATCAGGGTAGACTTTCAGTTAATATTTAGATAATAGAAATGGTTGTGGACCGAGAAGAAAACAAGATGAAAACCGAACAGAGTGATGTCAAAAGATTGAGGATGCAATCAGGGGTGGAGTTGAGCGTGAACATGGTAACTATACAGAATATATACG